ACCAAGAAAATATAAATTTGTACCAATAAGATTTGAGGTGTGAGCATATCGCGGTGTAGTTGGCGAACATTCTATGGCTCTATATAGAATAAAATAAAATATAATGGATAAAAGCATTGTCCAATTTGTATATGCCATATCTTTCGATAAATTTTTAAAGGCATGTTATATTAAACATTTTGAAGTTCAATTTTTCCTGCATCTTATCGTCATCAACAATGATCATGTGACAGATCGCCTAATGATAAGCCATTTCTACAGTATACAGTATATGATATTTATAGTAATGAGATTTTGTTTCTACTTTTCATTTTACCTTCACACTGGTACTAATTAAGAAATTTGGTGTTTCCATCGAACACTATATTGTTGTCAAATGTCTTTATTTGAAATACTGTATTTTTTTTCCGAGGCAGCTTTTCTATGTCAAGAAAAAATCCGTTGAATTAAAATTAATTCCAAACCAATCATTAATTTTTAATAAAACGGTTATTAAACAAAACAAAAACAAATAAAAGCCGTGATGACATTAAATATTTGAATGCAAAAGGTTTTACCTAGATCATTGTCACACAAAATGGTTTAGCCAGTTCCGATAATCAGTTAAATAATGATTTGGAGTGCATCACGTGAACATATTGTATTCAGTTGCTTTATTTTTTTAGAGAAAGATAACTAAAAATTCGACATAAAAAAACTGGTTCAAAACCTAAGCTCATAGATTATCATAAAAAAAAAAAAAGTAAAGAGAAAGGCCAAAAGAATTCAATTGACTTGCAGGTTAAATAAACAATCACATAAATTTGATGTATCATGAATAACGTTAATCTAAGAAATTTTGCAAATAAAATGCAATTTTATTGTCATATTCGAAATTTACGATATCATCGTCTTCTAGCTTATGAGGAAGATCGAACTCTTCCACGATATTAAGAGTGTTCTCATCAGGCAAATCGTATTCAATGACTTTGGCGAAGTCATCTACCGTTCTAATTTTATCGATCGAATTTTTACGAGAGCCAGAAATTGAATTCGAATATATATCTTCACTAGATGTTTCTTCACGAGAGAAGGAAACATCCTCTTCGAGTCTGTTCGGGATCGCATCGGTTCCAACATTTCCAAAATCAACGCCGGTAGATTGTCTTTTTTTCATGGTAGCTTTACGTTTTTTTTTACGTTCCAATAACTTTGAATTTTTCCAGACAACTCTACAAAACGAGACATTCCTTTTTCGTCTTTCATTTAATACCACCTCTACTTCATTAGCAATCTTCTTATAGGCTTCTTTAACTTTTTCGGGTTCGTTGCGCCAATGAACGCTAACCAATTTTGACACTTCGGTCATCTTGAGACAATGATTTAATGAAGAAAGATGATCCAAAAACACCTTTCTGTAGATTAGGAAGGCATTAGGGCTTCTCAACATGATTTGAGACAGCTTCCTTTTGTTCGCGATCTCAATGGCATCAATCTGGGGAGGGAAAGGAAGGGATATTTGTGGAACGGTATCGGAAAAAGAATTCGGCATAATTTGTTTATGGAATGTGTTAAAATGGGACATTTCTATGGCGTCGATTAAAGGAAAAAAAAAACGTCGAAAAGGAGAGTCAAAAGTTTCACTCGATTAGTGAAAATAAATTGACGAACGCACAGATATTCGGACGTGGTTGATCGTTGGAGGATTTTATAGAGAAAAAAAAGGATAAAACCACGGAAAACGCAATTGGTTAGGCCCTGTACATAGTCGAAGTAACGAAATTATTCAAGAGACGTTACATAACGCACACAAACAGAATTGCGAAACCTAGAGTAATGGTTCGAGATTTTTTTTTTTTTGTTGGGTGACCATAATTTTTTTGTTTGTTTTGCCGTAAATCTGTGTGTGTAAACGTCATATTGATTGTCCAAAAAAAGAACGTCCATATGCTTTGATTTTAATTTCCTTATCCAGATGTACTTTTGGTTTTTGATTTGTCTTCCATATTGAACAATTTGAATTAAGTATGGACAAATTCGGACAGCATCTGTTCGTCGGTGATCAAAGAAGATGACATCACCAACGAGGTGCATAAGCCTCAATGGGATTCAAATACTGTAAACTAAAAGTGAATCATGCATCGGTACAAAAATTTTTTGAACGGGAACTCTTGATAAGGTAATATACACCTATATTAAGTTAACCTATTTATATTGTTCAAAATATTTCAAACGTTGAACCGGAATTAATTTCAAGAAATAAAATAAAAATAATTCACTCCTTTATTATCCAAATATTGATATAAATTCCTTGGAAAGTACAGCTTGTTTACCTTTCTGCATAGACAAAGCGATATCAATACAAATCAGAGAAAAGCAGATACATACATCATCACCTCATCACTTACTTTCTTCTAATTAGGTAGTTTTTTCTCTGTATATTTATCTCTTTTTATAATATCGAATTATATCCATTTTAAACCTACTTTGGTTTGTTCAATCAATTTGTCAAGGTACTTTATTAGATTCATTGAGGAAACCAGTTTTTGACGCAATAATTTATAATCAAAACAAAAACTTGGCTATATAGAGAAAAATCTCAAATGATCTCATTATCTGCTCAACCGGATCGAATGAAAATACAGTTATCTTGGATCATATCAAATAACTGATTCATCCTTAGTAGTAAAGCACCCCTGGGAATTAACCTAATGCAGCCAACAAGATTAATCACGATGAGCTTTCAGAATTTAATTTTACCTTCATCCCGAGAAAAGACTTATTAATAAATATCATCTCATATCTGTCGTGTTCAAATGTATGATTTGTTTTTGAAATAGAAATAAATTTGTAAAAATATACTGTATAGACGGTGTGCGTTACCATTAGCTTGGTCATACCTTATATAGTAACTATAAATAAATAAATAATAAATAAATAATAAATAAATAAATTTTTTTTTCTATAAATATGTCGTATTTACTGTATGCAATATACACAACAACAATCCTTTTCTTTTATTATTTTTTATCATTTTATTTTTGGTAATTAATTGTTTACTATTATTATTATTAATAAAAATCAATTAAATAACAAAACAGTTTATTTATATATGATATATTTATTATTCAAAATTATTTGGCACATGAAATATTCACTGTTTTAATAAAAGATACTAAATTGTTTTGAATTATATTTTTATTTTTATTTTTATTTAATTATACAACCAGGCTGACATTATATACTCACTAGATTTTTAAATTATTACTAAAAAAATAATTATATTTATTGTCATATATTATTTCTTTTTTAGAAAAAAGAAAAAAAAAACAAAAAACTAGTAACAATGAAATACTTAGCTGAAAAGATCAATATAATATATTAAAGTTTCTAAGAATATACAAATTTAATATCAAAAATTAAGCAAAAAGAAATAAGAATAATTTGTTTTATAAAGATCAAGATATTTATTAATAAAAATAAAAGTTCAATCTTATAATTTTAAACAAAATTGAAAGTTTTTATACAGTATATACAGTATATAAGTTATAATACTTAATTCTTTAATAATTAAAAAATGGTTTTTTCTATATATACAACATATGCTAAAATTTAATATTAATTAATTAAATAAAGTTTTAAGAAAAATAATTAATAAAAATTATTTTATATTTAAAAATACTATTTAACAAAATATTATAAATATAATAAAGTTTTTTTTATTTAGTTTTAACTTTTCTATAATTAATATATTAGTTATTATTTATAATTTTAAATTTGTTATATTTAATTACTTTTTAATTAAATCTTTTTTTTTATTTTTGCTATCTTTTATAAATATTTCTTTTTGCTTATTCTTGTTACTATAAAATTTTTTTAATAAAATAAGTAATTGATTAAGTATTATTAGTTACAATATTTATTTATATTTGTTATGGATATTTATAATTTTTATCTATAAAATAAATAATGAAATATTATTTTATTAAAGATTGTTTTGATATTATATAAATAAAAAATATTGATAAAATATATTAATTCTAATCTTTTTGTTTTTTGTTAACTTTGCAAACAATTTATATAATGTTTTATTAAATTGTTCAATTAATTTATTAGTTTAAAATAATAAAATATAAATAATAGATGTTTTATTTCAAATTATTTAAGTAATTTATCTATTTTTTTATTTCAAAAATAAGTTTTTTTATTATATATAATTTGTTTTAAATATTTAGATTTATAAATAATAACTTAATAAATAAAAAAATTTTATTATATATATTTTTAATAACTTTAAAAATTGCATTTGTCTTAAATTATTTAATAAAGTAATTTGTTGCAATAATAATATATTTGTTTTTTTATTTAATAGTTAATAAAGGCTCTACAATATTTATATCAATTTTAAAAGTTTTGATATTTTGTATTTTTCATATTTTTAATATTAATTTATATAATTAATATAATATTTAATATTTGAAATATTTGAAATCAATAAAATTGATTACAAATTTTCTTAAAAATTTTATTAATTTTCAAATATATACTTTAATAAAATAATTATATATTAAATAAAATATTGCTTTGATTTTATATTTTTAAATAACTTCAAATAATTAATTTCAAAATTTTTTTCTCTTTTACTAAACAATATCATCATGAAAAATTTTAGTTTAAAATTAATGAATCAGCTTCTTTTATTTTTATTATATAATTAATTTTTTTAACTTTAAAAATTTATTTTATAATTATAAACTTTTTTATTAATTATTATTTAAAATTATTAGTAATTGTTATTAAGAATTTAATTATTTAATTAATAATATTGTTATATATTTATGTTATTAAAATTTGAATATCAAAATATTAATTATCTAAACTAGATTTTGTTTTGTCAAATTTTTTTAATAATTTTTTTAAAAGTATCTCAATAGTAAATAACAAAATTAATATTTATTTTCAAATTAAATTGTAAAAATAAAATTTGAATAGTTAATAAATTCTTTTTATATTGTTCAAAAAATTAATTTGATTTTGATAATTGCTAATAATTATTAGACAATTGAATTAGTTTTTTAAATTTTTTATTTTTAAATCATGTTCTTGAAATTGATTAAAGTTATAATGTTAAAATTAATATTTAAATTTTTTGTTAACAATAGTTAAGATTAAATTTTATTCAAAATAATTTTTATGAATTAAATTATTACAAATTATAAATTATTTATTTATTGTTTCTTTACAAATGCATTTATCTTTAAAATATTATTTATTTCTATGAAATAATTTTTTATATTAATTACAGAAAATAAAAATATAATAATCTTTAATTTTTTTTTTACAAATAAAATAATATTTTCTTGCAATAATTATTTTATTTTATAAAATGATTTTTTTTAATTAAAATTATAAGATATAATAAAATTATCAATTACAAAATTATATTTAGACATTTATTTTCTATTTGAAATATATAAATTGATTTATATATTATATATATATATATAATATAATATTAACATTATTATGTTTTTTTTCCTATTTGATAAATAACAATATAGTTATAAAATTTTAAATATAAAATCTATCTGGCTCTTTTTTCTTTAAGATAAATATTTTTAACTATTGAAGAACAAAATAATCAGTTACAAAATAAAAGTAATTAGTTTCAAAGTACACAGTGAACCCCATTAAACTGAGGTAGCCGGGACTAATAGTAAAATTTTTTGGGAAATTCAGTTTAAAGGGGTTTACCCAGTAAATTTGGTTTAACAAGATAATTTACAATATGACAGTTTTTGAGTAAACTTTGGTTTAACAGGATTTTAATTAGTACTTCGGTTTAATGGAATTCGGATTAACGGGGTTGACTGTATATTAATAAAAATATTTGATAGTTCAAATAATTATTAAATATTCTTATTCAATAATAAAATAATTTTGTTATAGTTTAATTAATATATATAATAATATATTCTAGTTTTTCTTTTTCTTAAACAAAAATTGTTTTTATTTCAGTATCAAAAATATTAATATGAAAATAAAATAATTCATTAAAATCAAAATATCTAAATATTGATACAAAAATCAAATATTACTTTAATATTTGAAATGGTTTTTCTTGAATATTATTTACTTAAAAAATACTTGTTTTTTAATAATTAATTTAATTATTTGATAATAATAAAAAGATTGTCTATAAATTTTTAAAAAGAAAATATTAATTCAAAAAATTTACAAAGTTATTTAATTTTTTATTAATTTTCTTACAATTGATTTTATATTTCAAAAATATAATACTAGTAAGAAAGAAGCAAAAAATATTTAGAATAATATTTATATAATTGTAGTATTTGTGAAATATTATAAAAAATAGTAATATTAGGGCTCTTAATGATATTACTTTGATACCTGTTCAATATTAGTTCGATATTTAAATTTACTATAAATTCATATGAGTAGGTTACAACCCATATATTAAATTTACTATAGATCGATATCATTTCGATACCACTTCGGTATCAGTTCAGTACTTTTCAAAGCTTTAAGTAATATTTTAAAATAAATATTAATATTTTTTTTGTA